CCGTGCTGATGCCTATAACCTCCGAACCATCTCCTTGACGCACGCAAACACTCCACAACTGAGTCACGCTCCAGCTCGTACGCTCCCTCCTCCTTTGGGCCAACACTTCACCCCCTCCCCCCCCGACTCTATACGACGACAAATCATCTTGGAACCAAACCATGTGTTTCCCTACATCAGCAACGTGGGAAATCACAACAGCCCCCTCACAAACCGACGCCGATGCCAGAATCCCAACTTGAAGGACCTCACACTCTCTCTCTCTCCCTTTATCTCTCTTTCTCTCTCCCTCCCTCACCCTATCTCTCTCTCTCTCACTCTCTCCCTCTCTCACTCCCTTTCCCCCCCTCTCTCTCCCCCTATTTCTTTCTCTCACTCTCTCGATATTCTCTGTAACACACACTTACTCTCTCTATCTCTCTCTCTCTCTTTGTTACTCTTTCTCTCTCACTCTCTACTCCCCCCTCTCCTTATCTCACTTTTTTTTCTCCCGCTGTATTTCTCTCTGCCTCTCTCTCTCTCTCTCTCTCTCTCTCTCTCTCTCTCCCCTCCTTCTTCCCTCCCTCCCTCCCCCCATCTCTTTCTGTTTATATATATAAACATATATATCATGTATATTATATATATATATATATATATATATATATATATATGTATATATATATATATATATATATATATATATATATATGTATATAATCGCTCCCTGTAGCTCTCTCTCTCTCTCTCTCTCTCTCTCTCTCTCTCTCTCTCTCTCATTCACTCCCTCTCTCTCACTTGATTTCTCATTCTAACACTTTTACTTTCTCTTTCTCTCTTTCCCCTCTCTTTTTACCTTCGAAAAGTTTGCAAAATACATACGAGATTCTATGCGGCCGTATTAATCTACCTCTTATACGTGTATCTCTCTCTCTCTCTCTCTCTCTCTCTCTCTCTCTCTCACACACACACACACACACACACACACACAAGCCCAGTAACGCTGCGTATGTGTGTGCGTATGAGTGTGCATGTGTGTATTTGTATATATATATACATTTTATATGTATATACACACATATATATATATACACATACATATACATTTATATATATGTATATATACTTATATATACGTGTGTGTGTATGTATGTGTATATGTGTGCGTGTGTACCCACACACATATGTAATTATATATATATATATATATCATATAACACACACACACACATATATGTATGTGTGTGTGTTTACATATATACATATATGCATTATACATATATATAGATAGATACTTATGTATATGTGTGTGAGCGCACACACACACACACACACACACACACACACACATACACACACACACACACACACACACACACACACACACACGCACACACACACACACACACATACACACATACACACACACACACACACACATACACACATATTTGTATATGTACATATGAATATATGTATACATATATATACATATATATATATATATATATATATATATGAATATATGTATATATAAACATACACATATATGTATAAATATATGTATATAGATATACAGATATCTATACACCCACAAATATATGCATATATATGTATATATATATATATATATATATATATATATATTCACACATACATATATTGTAAGGATAATTTTAATCTATAATGAGGAGCCCGACTTAAACCCCAGCCTCGTGAAGCGAGAACCGCCTAGGGACGCAAATAAGGATCTCGTTCGCTCTCCTGACAACTTAAACAGATCCTGGGCCTTTAGAATGGTAGCGGGCAGTGACCCAGGATCCCACGCAGGCTTGACATGTACCCTGAGCGGAGACAGCATGAACCAGTCCTTGTGGCTCAGTCTATCATTTCAAATACGATTAAATAAAAGAACTAAAAGATAATGAAGTGATACAACTGCCAATCCAGGTGGATTCCGAAGGCACAAAATGCAAAAAAAATACATACTAAAATTACGTTACTTTAATGAAACGCGAAATAAGGAAAAGAAATTTACGTTAACATACTAAAAAATGCTTAAATATTAAATATTAAACTTAAAAGGAGACTGAAAGTTAAAAACCATGCGGGAAAAGTCGAATCCTGAAGGGCTTCGGTGTAAAATACGTCTGAAAGTACTTAAAAACAATGAAAACATAAAACAAAACAAAAAAAGAAAACGTCCAGCAAATAACCTAGGCAAGTAACGGGAAATCTGCTCAGTACTACCTTTGTTCTGGTGACGTAAATCCAGAGGGGGTGACACACAGTTCAAATCGATCTCTCTTTATTGTTCTGGCCGTTCCGTATTTATAAACGGACGTCCTGGTGGCGTCACTGCCTTCATTTTCATCTTTCATAAATAGATATAAACGGGCTTAGAGAAATAATTAGAATAAAAAATAAAGCCTCTTAAAAAGTACTGATGTCACTGACATCGCCAAAAAGCTGAAGAGACGATGTCAATAACGTGAATAAAAATATTTACACGGTAAAATCA